TTATTTTTTCTTTGTGTTTCATTTCATATAATTTTTTACAAAATTTTTTTAATGGTCAGCTCAGCCCACCCTGGGGGTAGAGCTGGCATGGCATGTGGTGCTGGGGATTGAACCGAGGTCCCTGCATGCTTGCCTAAGCTTGCCTAAGCAGACGCTGTAGACCTCTGAGCTATCTCACCAGCCCTCATTTCATATAATTTCTAAAGGCTTGTTTTCAAGTACACCAGCCTTTTCTCTGTAGTATCTTACTACTTGCTAATTTTGTATATTTTTTTTTATCTCAGTCATCGCATAGTTTTCTGTTTCTTTAAAAAAGATTTTTGTTTCCCTACTCAACTTCTTAAACATTTGGAATACAGTTAAGATAGTTATTTTAATATCCTTCTCTGTTAATTTTAATACCTGCTTTACCTCTGGATCCATTTCAGTTGGTTGATTTTTCTTCCCATTTTGATTCATTTTCTTTGAGTTGATGTAAATTATTGTTTTGGTTTTTTTTTTGTTTTGTTTTGTTTTTTGTGATACTGGAGATCGAACTCAGGATTTTTTGCTTGCCAGGCAGGCACTTAAGCTGCTGAGCTATATCCTAGGCCCTCATTTCTATTTTTTATCCCTATAAATACCTTGTGCTTTATCCTGGGATCCAGTTAAATTAGCTGGAAATAATTTTATCTTTTGGGTCTCACTTCTAAGGTCTGTGGGTGGGGCCAGAGCTGTGTCTACAACTCATGGTAGAAGAGGCGCGTTCCCTGGCCTTGTGTGAGCACGGGCCTCGCTCCCCGGGACCCTCCCCAACGTTGGGGTAGTTTCCTCCTATGCACATGCTTTACCAGCACCGGATGAAATCTTGAGCTCTTCACAGTTTCCGTAATTCTGTCTCTCGCCTCAGCTCTCTCCTAGTCCTCTGTTGGACAAGTTCCCGATACCTCGGTCATTCCCACAGCTCATGGGGGTTGAAGCTGAAGTTCTGCCCACATTGTGTCCAAAGGAGCTCAGACCAGCAGCATTCTGCCGGGCCCTGCATACTAAGTGTAACGTGGAAATGCCGTTGCAATGAAACAGAAAATGCAGCTAAATAAGATCAATGCTCCCCAGATTTTCAATTTTTTTTCATATAGGAAAAGTTTAATTCTTATTTAGCAAGTTTATCAATCTTCTGGTAAGAAGTAGCATCTATTTTCACCCTGTTTCTTTCCTTAACATCAAAATAAGCTTCATTAGCTATATTCATATAGGTTCCGTTAAAAAACAAATCCATAACCTGGAAGTCAGGCAACTTGAATAATAATTTTAGCTTTTGTCGTTTACTGTCTGTTGGCTTGTACTCTCATTCACCGAGAGTGCTTTTCTTCATCAATAGAAAGACTTGCTCACCTAGAGATCCTCTGTGGTGGTTTAGAAATACGTTCACTAGCCAGGAGGAGTGAGGCACCCTGTACCCCCAGTCCTGAGGGAGGATGGAGCCGGAAGAGGCCCCGTTTTGAGTCTCGCCCCGGCGATTTCAACATGACACTCTGCCTAAAAATAAAGAGAGATGAGGATGGAGCTCAGGTAGAACACTGCTGGGCATGGTTTCTAGTACCACACACACACACACATACACCCTGCAAATTATGATTCTCCTTTCTTCAAGAGGTGGAACTTCATTCCGCTGTCACTGAATGTTAGTGGGACTTGATAAATCACTTCTAGTGGGCACTGTATGGAGGTTGGCGGTGTTACCTCTAAACCTAGGTTGTAAAAGGCACTGGGAATTCTTCCTCCCAAATTCTCTGTCTCTGTCTCTGTTTCTGTCTCTCTGTCTGTCTATTTGTCTCCTTCCCTCCCTGCGTCCCTGACTCCCTCCTTCTCTCCCTTGCTCCCTCCCTCCCTCCTCACCTCTCCCTAAGAAGATACTCAAAAAGTCTTCTGGAAAGGCCTGCGTGGCAAGGAAATGAGGCATCCTCACAAGCGCCACCAGTGTGGGCCATCATCTGGTTCCTGTCACACTCAGGGGTCCTGAGAGCACTGTCCCTGTTCCTCAAGGGTAGAAACAGTCCCAGGATCTCTGAATGCAAATGCTTCCAGCAATCCCAACCTCATACCCTAACTTGGGAAATGGTTGTATAACACAAAAATAAAGTTGACTCAAGTACTGATCAGTTAAATTTATGTTTCCGTAAACAGAAAGGCATGTGCGGGTCTATTTGACAGAGAGAATGTACATGTTTCATATTTTGATGATTTTTTTAAAAAGTAAGAACAGCACTATACATATCTGAAAGTAATTTCTAAAGAGCAGAAAAGCCTTGTCTGAAGAGTGGCAAAAAAGTTCTTTGACAAAGAAATAGGTTTATTTTTAAGTTTCTGAGGGGTCAAATTGAATTATAAATGGCAGTAAAGAGCAAGGAAAAGATCCATGAAAGTTTCTGGGGGAAAGGTAAGATTTTCTAAAAAGATAAGGTATTTAACAAGTTATATTTAAAAAAAAAAAAAGGTAAAAACCAAAACTAAATAATTTTTTTAAAAAAACAACTGGGGGGAAAAGGGCAGTGAGATAGCTCAGTAGGCTAAGCACCCACTTAGGCAGCTCAGGGACCAGGGTTCGCTACCCAGCACCACGCGACACACCAGCCCTGCCTCCGAGAATACTGAGCCAGCCGTGGAGACCTAGCGTGGTGGCACACGCCTATAATCCCAGCAGGAGGGTGTGGTGTGGGAGTGGGGCTCAAAACAGGAGGATCGCTCCAAATCTGAGCTGTGTAGTGAGAACCTGTGCCGATACATTAAGAAACAAAACAGAACAGGCAGAACAAAGAAGGGTGGGATTGAGAATGCAGTTCAGTGGTAGGAAATATGCTTAGCATCCCCAAGGTCCTGGATTCCATCTCCAGTCCTCCCCTAGGCTACAAAACAACAACCCAAAAAAGGGAAGCGGGGAGAAAGAGAAAGGAGAGGGGAAACAGGGAGAAAAAAATCCTTTAGGTAATGATGACATGCAGGGCACATTCCTCAAAGTGTGGCGGCCACCTAGGCAGCTGAGAAAACAGCAGAGGCCTGGCTCCAACCTTCCCTTCCCTTTCCTTTACCTGAGGCAGGTCATGGAATTTAGGGTGGCTTTCCTGAGCTTCCATGAGAGTCCTAGAGGCCCTATCTGTGGGACTAGGGAGTGGCCTTCCTACTCTCAGAGTGAAGGAACATGCTCACCTCTGTGGACACGGGAACACACCCACCTCCCTGCGTGTGAGGCAGGTTCCACCGCCAACTGCCCAGTCACACCTTTGTGCCGCTATATTTCTCTGTGACTCCTCCATGACACCTGGCCTGACAATGCACCTGCTAAACGGTTGACTGAGGTCTTTGCTTCCTTGTGCAGGAAACCTCCGATGTCACATAAAACTTAAATAAATTGACAACTTTTCTCTCGCTATGGGACTCTCAGCTATGAACTTAGAATGGGTAAAGGAAAGATATTTTTTTGCCTCTACAGTGATATTCAAATCTACCCAGAAATTCTTTCCTCTGAAAGTTGAAAACTGCACTAAACGAAGTTATCTAAGAAAACAGATGTAGTTTTTTTAAAAAAATTTTTTAATTTTTTTTATTTTATGTGTGTGTGTGTGTGTGTGGCCAGTTCAGCCCACCAGGGGGCGGGGCTGGCTGGCATGTGGTGCTGGGGGATTGAACCGCGGTCCCTGTGCTTTGCTAAGCTTGTTCTAAGTAGGTGCTTTAGACCACTGAGCCATCTCACCAGCCCAACAAATGTGGTTTTGGTGTTGTTATCAAGCCAACATGTCTTCTCCTCTCCTTGAATAAGATATGTGGCTCAGCAGAGAGAAACCATGGTGCTGGGCTAGTGACACTTGGTGGCTCTGAACTGCCTCAGATGAGACTTTTGAAAGTAGTCAAATATGTACAATGGGATGGAAATTATTTTTGAAATAATAATACTAACACTTAAAATTTTGAATTTCCAAAGGGGCCTGAGGATGGGGAAGGCAAAAGGGAAACAAATAACATTCCTGAGATGTATACATACCAGTTCCCCAAGAAGAATGTAATTATTATGTTTCAAGAACATATACTATTAAAAAAGAAACAAAAGTGAATAAAACAAGCAAAAATAATGTAAAAGAATGTAGGAAGGGAGGGAAAGTATTATGAAACAGGTAAAGCCAAAAATTTATTTATTTATTTATTTATTTATTTATTTATTTATTTAATGTACTTGATACAGGGTCTGCAGGGTCTCACTGTGTAGGTCAAACTCAGTGATTCTCCTGTTTTCAGCCTCCCAAACACTGGGATTACAGGCGCATACCACCACACCCAGTCTCAATCACCATTTTAGCAGGCCCTGGGGGTGGGACTGGCAAGGCACACTGAGGATTGAACCCCAGTCTCTACATCTAAGCTGGTGCTTTAATCTGCTGAGCTATCAGGCCAGCCCTAGGCCAAAAATTTAATGGTTGATTAAATTAAGATATATAAGTAGATATAAAAATAAGATAAAATTATGACTTTTATTAAGAGAATTTCTAAATTTCAGCTTTCTAAAAGGATTACAAACCAAGCATGGTGGTGCACACCTGTAATCCCAGCACTCAGGAGGCTGAGATAGGAGGAACATGAGTTTCAGGCCAGTCTGAACTGCCTACTAAGTTTGAGACCGGCCTGGACTATTTATAGAGCAAGACCTTGTCTCAAAAGAATATAAATAAAAATAAAAAGATAAGATATTTTTATTTTACGAAAAAAGACACCAAGTGTGCACTGAACATGAATTGACGAGACAACATATAAAAGAAAACCCATGTCATAGAAAATATGAATGTAGTTAGGGGTCAAGTTAATAAGGATAAATTGTATATCTTTGACTTGTATGTTTTAGCATACTAATCTGCTATTACAGGTACTCAAGAAATATTTACTATGGAAAAAGAAGTCTTGCCATTGAGCGTGGAGCAATTCAACTGTCCGAAGTCAAATGCTTCATTTCTTTTCTTTTTTTTTTTTTGTAGGTATTATTACTTGGCATTCAAAGCACATCAAACACCTCCTGCTAGCAAAGAGAGCTGTGTTGCTATCTTGGAAAAATCCAGATTAGATCGCTGGGTGCTGGGGAAAACAAAGGTAGTTCTTTCCTGTTGTTCAGATTGTCACCAGGGATGCTCCTCTGCTTGCCTTTTGTCTCTTGTCACTGATAATAGCGGCAAGATGGCTGTGTTAGTCATGTAGTTTAGTGGGCGAGACCCCAACCTGAAAATAATCTTTGCTAGTCTTGAGTCATGAGCCCAGAGAGCTTAGGCGCCAGAGCAGAAAAATTCTGCATATGTCTTTTTTACAGCTACTTAGCACTTCTAGATTTTTGAACTTACTTTAAATACTTTTATTTAAATTCTCATTTTGAATGCTTTATATTTTGCCACACATGTAAACATACAGAAGCTGTTATGGTGATGGCGAGACTATAGTGTGGTCCTTTTTTTTTTTTTTTCTAAACTCACATTGTGTTATTTATTGCATGTTCTGGTTATTAATTTCATCTTGTGTAGCTTTTAATTTGGGGCAACATCACGTCCCTGCAGGACACCAGGCTTTATGGTCCCATCTTGAACTGCCCTACAGAATCTGCTTTAGCCTAGATGTTGGTGGCAGCTCCCCAGCAGAAATTGGATCCCAGTAGGCCAGGCAGGCCCTGTTCCTCCAGCTCCCAGGGCTGGCTGTGGGTGGTCCTGGTGGTTTCACCTCCATGAGAGGCTGAGGCTCTGGGTAAAGACAGCAAAGCTCAAGCTGAGAAAGTGAGACTCCTGTGTGAGGCCAGGAAGGCCGGAGAGCTCCTAGGGTCGCTTCATGTGGGGTCACTTCACCTGGGGTCACTTGACTTCATCTTCTATTTACATCAATAATCAAGGCTTGGCAGCCTGAGAAGGGGATTTATATTTGTCCCCTAAATGTCGGTAATAACAGCATATATCCAATCAACTCCATTTATTTATTTTTTTAATCTTATTTATTTGGTACAGGGTCTCCCTACACAGCTCAGGCTTGTAGTGATCTTCCTGTCTCAGCCTTTCTAGCACTGGGATTACAGGCATGCACCACCACATCCAGTTTCGGTGGTAGGCTCAGTGTACCGGAGTTCAGGGCTGGCATAGCATGTGGTACCGGGAATCAAACACGGGTCCTTGCGCTTGCCGTGCAGGCGCTTAGACTGCCAAGCTATCTCCCCAGCCCCACCAACTCCATTTAGATAATAGTTGTATTATTTACATTAAATATGCTGGAGTAGAGTAGATTTCTATTAGAAAGCCCATGAGTAATATGGAAACTAATGCCTCCTTTCAGGTTTTTCTCAAATATTACCATGTTGAACAATTAAATTTGCTACTGCGAGAGGTCATGGGAAGAGTGGTCGTGCTGCAGGCATACACCAAGGGGTGGCTTGGAGCCAGGAGATATAAACGAGTCAGAGAGAAGAGAGAGAAGGGCGCCATTACCATCCAGTCGGGTGAGTGGACCAGTTCCCAGACCTGCCGCCCGAGTCTTGGCATTTCACTAAGTACTAGAAGCTGCTCACCTGTTTTTACACTGGTCGTTTCTCTTTTTCTTTCTCCTCCTCCTTTCCTTCTCCCTTGTCTCAGCAAGTATTTATCAAGCATCTGTCATAGGTCTGAACCTTACTAGGCACTGGGGCTGCAGCCCTGAGGGGATCCCCCAGGTCCCTGACCTTGCAGAGGCACAAAGGTCATTGCAGTGCACTGTGACCAGTGTCCACTTGGAGATATTATGAGAGACCCAGGAGTGTAAAACCCAACACACATCCCATCTTTCAGAATGGCTGAGATGATACATCCATGCATGCAGGCCTGACTGGCTTCCAGCAGCAGGAACACAGTGCCCTTCCAGCAGGCTTTTCTAGCCCAGCCAGAGCTGTAAACCAGACGAGCAAACTTGTAGCCTCTCCTATGCCAGCCCTGCCCATGGCAGTGTGTGCTCCAGACAGCAGTATTGCTCCTGTGCTAGGGATGAGCAGTTGTTAAAACATCAGCTCTTGAATATGGTGGGTGATTCCTTTGTGCTATCAGAAGCCACAACCGTACTGTGCCTTGGCTGACTTTAAATCTCCTGAGCAATCTCAGCCCCTTGGATAGTTGAGATACTTAGGCTCAGGTTCCAGGAGCAGGCTGAGGGAAGCCGCTCAAGCCCCTGGTGGCCGGCTTATGCCTCGGTCTATAGCTAAAGGATTAACACCCCTCTCCCGGCCCTTTCCTCCTCCACGCCCCATCTCCCATGCCTCCCCCATCTCCCATGCCTCCCCCCATCTCCCATGCCTCCCTCCATCTCCCATGCCTCCCCCCATTTCCCATGCCTCCCCCCATTTCCCATGCCTCCCCCCATCTCCCATGCCTCCCCCCATTTCCCAGGCCTCCCCCCATCTGCCATGCCTCCCCCCATCCCAGCTTCCCCACCCAAGAAGCTCCTTAGCTCTCAGTGACTCTCAGCCACTGTTATGCCCCTTGACTCCCCTCTGTCTTTCTTGTGACTCTCATGGTTCTTTTTCTCTCAAATAAGAAAACATTAAAAGGACCATACTATTCTAGCGCCCTCCACACCATGCCTCCATGGTGTCCTCTTTCCCATATGGGATCCCAGAGTCCTGAAGACAAGTCCCTCTCCATGGATTGGACTGAGAGGGAACCACCTTACCTGGGGTTGGGACCCAAATGACTCCTATTAGGGGTGCAGAGTGTTCTGGAAACTCACTGCTTGAACAAAAATGGCTCCCGGAAGCATTTTCAAAGCCACTCTGCAAGTACAGAGAGGCCCTTCTTCCCCACCATAGCTCACATATCTGCTTATTTTGTTCAGGGAGAAAGCAGGGCGGGAAGAGAGAGGGAATAGACTGGAGGGGGAACAGCTTATATCAATCCTCTGGCACGTTGTTAAATTAATGTCATTCCTAGCACATGGTTTTATATTTTTAGCCTGGAGAAGATATGATGCTCAGAGGAAATTTAAGAAAATAAGCAACAGAAGGAGTGAGTCTGCTGTTTATATTCAAGCAGGTAATTAAAACATCATTTCTCAGCGTCCACTTGAAAATCTTCTGTGATTATGCTGAAATAGGTTTAGAGAAACTGAAAGGCTCATAACTCAGGAGCCCTGGAGTGAGTCCGCAGTGCCAGGAGTCCTTGTGTTTATTTGATATACTCCCCGCGTGTGTGCATAGGCCATTGTGGCCACCGCCACGTACCACGCTTGGCTTAAGGCACTGAGAGTGGGTCCTCTGATTGTCCTGTTTTTTTTAATACTGGAGACTGAACCCAGCGCCCTCACACTCAGCTGCATCCCCAGCCCTTCTGTGTTTTATTTTGATACAGGGTCCTCCTGTCAGGGTCCCTGGACAGGACTAGAACTTGCAACCCTCTTTCCTGCCATGGTACTAGATTACAGGCATGCACCAGGTGTTGTTTATAGTCCTGACTTTATAAAGGAAGGAACTGAAGTCCAGAGAGGCCAAGTGACTTGTCCACGACCTCACAGCTTGTCAGCAGCTTGAGTCCCTCATATGCAATGGAGCACTGGTTTAAAGGTCAGGTTATTTTCAAGGCCTGCCTCTCAACACCACCTAGAAGGAATAACTTGAGGACTTTCCCTGATCTAGGCTGGGGGTGGCAGGCGTGGTCCTCCGGGGTCCACAGGGCAAGCCCACCATGGCTCTTACGACTCAGTTTCCCTCACCCCTGAGTCCTGGGCACTCTAGTCATCCCATCCACTCCTTCCCTGGCTGTCAGGTCAGTCTGCTCTGCCACACTTGTGTCCACTGCGGCTGCCAGGCTGGGCCTCCCTGCCTCTTTTGAAGCTGCATATTCCTCTGGGGCTCTGGAAGAGCCTGCCAGGAGGCTCTGTGAGCCCAAGTTACTGGAGAAACTGGAGATGGAATAAGAGAGCAAAGGCCAGTGGACGGAACCATAGGGAGAGGGGTCGGGTTTCAGAAGCGGCTGAGCTCCAAGCACATTCTTCAGTAAGACAGCTGCAGCCTTCACAGGGCTGGGCTGAGCAGGCTGCTGGGGTTCTTCTCTGATTCACAGGCCACTGTTGAAGCCTGATGTCATTCAGAACTAAAATATTTGGGAGGAAGGATGCCATTTAAATGTAAATATGTAACATTTAACACCTCTTCCTACTAATTCTAAGTTCCACAACTTTAAAGTCTCAGAAAGAGGGATGCAATGACAGTTGCAGTGTAAGAGAGACAACTCCAAGAGCATCAGTTGTTCCCCATTTGCCCAACTACACACACACACACACACACACACACACACACACGCACGCACGCACACGCAGAGTCTCCCTTCAAAAGAGGATACTAGGCTGATTTCTGATCTGTCAGTTTGGCCCAAATCCAAACATATGTTTTAAAATATAAGCCCTGAGCTTGCATATTGTTGGACCACTGAGGCCAGTATGTAAAAATCATAAATCCAGTTTTCCTTATGTGAGAATCCTCTTTAGAGGGCTCCCTGTTCTGCACCGCGTTCTTGCCCAATGAATGCAGCATCAAAGCAGCGAGATCTACTTCATCATCCTGCGCCCAGGGCAGGGATGACTGCATCTGGTCACCGCAGCACCTGGAGGGGAGGGTGCTTTTGCTTGGTGCCCCTGCAGAGAGCAGTCTATGCCGCCTCATTTATTTTTCTACTTTATAAGCACCTGGCTTCCATAATCTCACAGCTACAGCCTTCCTGCCTATTGAGTGGTATTAGAACGTAGATTAACTGACTTTGTAAAGTCTTAGGCAGCCTCAAAGGAAACCCCACACCACCCTCTCAGTGCCACCACCACCGCTATCCTCTGTGGCAGCAAAAGAGAAAGCGGAGTCTCTTGCCCTTCTGTAACACACCGTGGACAGGAATGGGCGTGCTGCTTTTGCCCTGGTGGGAAAGATGCACTCTTGGATAGGGCAATGGCGTTTGCATTTTATGGCCAGTGTAATTTTACTTGAGAAGGCTTCCTTATCTATGAATTTAAGGCTGCTTGTGTTTATCTGAAAAGCAAAGCACCCCATTCCCAACTATGTGGGGTTGTGATTTTCCAACGCACAACCCCCTCTGTGTAAGCTCCTCCTTGTGTCTCTGGGTGTTTGCCAGGGTATTGCGAGCTAGGCCCCCTCAGCTGTGAAGCCTGCTGGAGGAGGCTTTAAAATAGGATGATAGCTTAGCAAAGCCACCTCAGGTCATTTTCTGAGGTTTACCTCTAATTGTTTTTTCAACAAAGCACTTTGTTAAATGCATTTGTTTGCACTTCTAGTTCTGGCCCTCCGTGATCTTTTTTTTTAATGGCATTGCTAAGATGTGTTATATATTTTTAAAAGAGCAGCTCTTGAAATTTAGGAAGCATTTGGCCTACATGTTGCTGCAGTGCAACGCATATTGAAATTTGTTTTCCTTTCATCTCCTTCCCAATAAAAGCAGCCGCGGCTTATCCCTTCAGCTTCCTCAGAACTTCCTCTCAGAATTCCCGATCTATTACGGCACATTCACACACCAGCAACAAGCTGCCTTTTCATGCTGTCAACCTTTTCATCTGAAATGTAAATTAATTCTTGCTGGTATGCCTTGACAGAGATCAAAGTCGGGTATTAACCTTCCTGGGCGGTCTTTCTCCTCCGGAAGACAGGACCAGTGGCCACTGGTAGGAGCTGTGTTCTGCTATAGGGTCCTGTACCAGGCAGCCCTCAGTGGAGGAGCCGCCCTTTGGAGCCTCCCAGTCCCTCTGCTGGTGACCTCTTCCGGTACTGGGACTTTCAACTGGGTGTGAAGCGATTTGCCTGCTGATTCTCAAGGGCCAAGGCAGCTTGGTTTAATTGTGGGCTCTGCCCTGGGATTCTGGGGCTGGGCTAAGTGGCTCTGCTGGGAGTGATCTTTAGATTGGAAGCCTTTCCCTGGCTGGCTCAGTGGGTCACCTCTCCCTTGTCAGTCTTTGAGGTAGGCTGCATTTGCATTCTCCAAATAAACAGATGTCTTTCAAATACATGAGCTGGTGGTCTGGAGATCTCTGTGGGCCCCGAGCGAGCGGTTCACCAGCTAGTGATGTTAGAAGAGAAAACAAATGGAAAAAACACGCTAGGTACCACGGATACATTTCCTACGTGGGTCAGTGCACAAGCAATAAAGGGCCTTTATGAGCTGTGAGGAGGTGGGAGAGAAGGAATGGGGGCTCCCTGGCCAAGATCCTCTGCAAGTTTCCTTTGGGGGCTGGGGGAAGCCACTTTGAATAGCACCTTGGCAAGAAGTGTCATGTTTTCTTGTTTTTATTATTGGCTAATTCTGTCCATGGGCTCTTGCCATAGCAAAGCACCCTCCTTTAAATGCTAAAGAATTAAAAACATATCCTTTTTTAAATTTGGAAAGTAAAGACTGGGTGTGGTGGCGAGCGCCTGTAATCCCAGCTCTTGGGAGGCTGTAAACAGGCGGATCACTATGAGTCCAAACTAGTAGTGAGACCCTGAACACCCTGTAGGCCCTTCCCTAAAATACAAAAAAATAATAAATAGATAAATAAATAAGTTTGGAAAGTAAGATTATAGATACTAGTGTTCAGATAGATGTGTGACTCTCAGTGAACAGTTATGTTTATTCCATTACTAAGGTATTACATTTTTAAATTAACTATATTTTTTCAACCAAAATGCATATGTTCTTCAGGGGATACTATCAAAACAACATTGAGGGGATTTTAAAAAGATAGATAGATAAATAGACAGATCACTTTTTTGATTTTGTTGTTGATGTTAGCTTTAAAATTGTCCCTCTGACTTAGGGTCTGTTTGGGGCTCTGGGCCTGGGAGGAATGCTCTCTACATAGGTGACAATGAAGCCCTAGGGTGATGGTAGTAAGCCCAAGACACTCATGCCCAGCAGACTATTTGTATGATTGAAATGTCTACTGTAGGGGACCTAGGGATCGATCTCTCTCTCTCTCTCTCTCTCTCTCTCTCTCTCTCTCTCTCTCTCTCTCTCACACACACACACACACACACACACACACACACACACACACACACTGGTTTATGGTACATTTTCACCTCTATTTCTGTGCTGTGAAGACTGTTCTCTTACTCACTGTCTTCTCTGCATTCTGCTCCCCACCCCTGCGACAGCACCACCATGTGTCATTAGAAGAGAACAGAGCACTAAGCGGGGACTTCTGTCCTCTATGGGCTCTGGGGAGAGCGCTCTCCTGGCACCCACAGGAGTGCTGCTCCTGGCCCAGGGGACACCTCAAGCCTGGAAACAGATGCCTTGAACCGGCTTCAGGTGGAACTTCAGGCACATCATGTGTCACCTGCCGAGTGGAGTTGTCTTCAGTGCTACTTCCCCCAAGTGAAGACCCTACATCAGAGTTTTAGTGTCTCACACTGCCTGAACTTTTAAACTCTCTCAGAGCAAGACTTTCTTTTATCCATTTCTAACTTTAAAAGGCTGTTTCTTTCAGCATTTTTCCTGGGTTAGCGATGACCAGGTAGTTGTAGCAACTTCCTAGAAATACATTTCCAGAAATATCTGTCTGTATGAAGGACAACTTTCCTTTCATTTCAGCTTTTCTTTCCTTTTCTTTTTGTGGTCTGGTGGTTGAACTCAGGGCCTTCACATTGAGTTACACTCCAGGACATTTTATGATTTTTTAAATTTTGAGACAGGGTCTTGCTAAATCCCTAAGTGGCCCAGGCTAAGCTTGAACTTGTCATGCTCATCTCTTATCTTCCCAGAGTGCTGAGATTATAGGTATGTGTGACTATACCTGGCAACAACTTTATTTCAAATTAGCATAATGTTTTTATTCATTCATGTATTCAACTGCCATTTATTAAGCACCTGATTCATGCTGGGACTGGGCTGGGGAGATAGCTCAGTAGTATAAGCACCTGCCTAGCAAGCACAGGGTCCTGAGTTCAATCTCCAGTATCACAAAAAAAAAAAAAAAAAAAAAAAAAAAAAAAAATCAGAAAATTCATGCTGGGACTACTATGGAAACAATGAGATTAGTTTGGGGCTTCAAATTC